TTTCTCATTATTATGATTTGTTACAAGTGCCTTCTTACCTTTTCATCTTCAGTGTCATAAAAACCAATAGATAACCCCTTGTCCACTTTGCTGACATGGATGCTTTTTAGTTTGTTTCATTGCTTCCATTCCAGTCTGTTCTGAAGAACCACTGAATGCCTTGTACTTCTATCTCTGGCCCTTTGGATTAATCTGTTCTTTCTCTCTACTGCCCCCTCCCCACCTCCTCAGCTCTCCCTCAGGTATCCACATGCTTAGGAAATTCCTACTCCTGTATGTATCAGAGTCAGTTGAGAGAAATTTTCTAAAATGCAGACTTCTTTCCCTACCTTCCTAGGGCTGGTGTGAACCTGGGAATCTGTATTTATTGAAGGTAACTGATATGATCCTTATGTAGATAGTTTTTGATCTTTGGGAAAAAAATGACTCAGCTAGGGATCCTCCTCCCCCTCCTCCTCCTCCTCCTCCTCCTCCTCCTCCTCCTCCTCCTCCTCCTCCTCCTCCTCCTCCTCCTCCTCTTTCTCCTTCTTATGGAACATAGGTAATTGTGCCTGTTTAATTGACTATTAATTAAACCTCATTACAAAACTCTTCCCACCTCACAAATGATATCTGTTTTTCCCAATGGATAGAGAATCCCAATTTTGGGGACAGAATTTACAGCAGGAGATCCACCATTAGCTGTCTACATTGCACTTTGCTCCTGCTCTGAAATGGAAATAATACTCTGTATGTTCCTCCCTTACAGACTTGTGTTGAAGATTTAATGTAGAAAAATGTATGAAAATGTATTATAAATTGCAAAGGATTTCATCAAAACTAATAAAACAAGAAACTGCATTTAAAAAGCTCATCTGTTAGAATATTGGAGAAGGAGTCTTTTTAAATGATGTTTTGCATCAGGGACTTTGAGTAGCTCTGCCAATGTTTTTGATCAAGCATATGTTTGAGGAGAGACAGTTGTGATCTCACTGCATTTTAAGTTGTGGCATCTCAGCCCTACCATGTCCTATTATACTCAGATATGTTTAACAGCATTGCAATGTAATTTTACAGATTCAAAAATTGAGGTCTTTCATCTTCTTTAATACAAATGCAAAAAAAAAAAATTACCCTCTCTGGGTTTCCAGCAAACCCTCTTCCCTCCACATAGAATATGAAGTATCAGATACTAACAATAGAATATTAAAAGCCAAATTTGAAGCAATTACCCACAGCTTTGGAGAACAGTCCCACACACAGCTGCCTCCCAATCAGAAGGCCTGTGTCTGTCACCCACCATCCCTGCTACTCACAGAATCAGAATGTCAGAGCTGAAAAGGATCTTGGAGATTATCCTCCCCCTCACTTAACAAATGGGGAAAGTGAGGCACAGGAAATGGACTGTGTCATCAGAGTCACTCAGCTGGAGGCTAAAAGGCTTTAGAAGCTTTGTCCCTGTCTTCTGATATATTGCTTTACTGCTCATTGTGCTGTACTCTGCCCCTTCATGTGCTGGTTTAGTTGAGGGACCTTGAGCTGAGAATGAAAGGTGCCCCCTGGGTGTTAAAGCCCTGAGCATAGAGTGTGATCTGCTGCACTGGAAGACAGTCTATACTGGTGTGGTACAACACATCCTGAATTTTTTAATCTTGTATGAAGCCCTAAGAGGTAGATGACACTAAACTGTTAATTGTTAATAATTACGTCAGTATCATAAGGTGAACATTGACTGTTATGGGTCAACCAGGACATTAAGTCACTTTTTCTCTCTTCCCAAGTCCCTGTTGGCCCCACTGACAGGGAGATGCTGTGAGTCTTCCATGGAGTTAGAGGCTGGGCTGCTGTCCTTTCCACGTGCCTCTATTTGGCTATATCACTGTATTCTGAATAAAAAGGAGTGGCACCAGCCATCAAATAGCAATTGTAGAATGTTTTATACAGGTTTTTCCTTGCTGTGACCAAACGACTTGACAAGAACAATTTTAGAGGAGGAAACATTTATCTGGAGCTCCCAGTTTCAGAGGTCTCAGTCTGTGGACAGCTGGCTTCATTGCTGTGGGCCCAAGATTTGGCAGAACATCATGGCTGTAGAGTGTGGTGGAGAAAAGTGGCTCAGGACCTGGCACCAGGAAGCAAAGAGAGTTCCTTACCAGAGACAAAACATATACCCCAAAGGCAAGGCCCCAGTCATCCTCCAGCCACACCCTACCTGCCTACAGTTACCACCCAGGTAATCCTTGTCAGGGGATTAGCACACTGATTAGGTTAAGGCTTTTTTAACCCAATCATTTCACCTCTAAACCTTCTTGTATTTTCTGCACACATGAGCTTTTGCGGGGACATCTCATATTTAAACCATAACAGAGATACTTTTCAATCTTTATTTGACTCCCTAGAAGAATTTTACAAGACAGTCAATATAAGCTTTGGGGATACTTCTCAAAGACCCTGTTGCCCTCTCTCCAGGCTCCACACACCCGTTCCACGCCCCCAGCTGTGCCTTTCCTCGGCCTCTGTCTTCGTGCCTAGTCTTCCATCCTTTCTTCTCAAGGATCTTCTTTACCATGTTTACTCACCCTGCACCTCTCTTTGAGTATGTGCCCCCTAATTTCTTCCCATCTTTGCAGGGTTTTTGTTTTGATTTTCCTTTTCCACGAGGTGTCTTCAGTTGTATGTCATAGAAAAAAACATGAGCCCTATTGGCAGTGGCTCTCTGTCGTGCAAGAGAGGTTATGGGGAAGAGTCCCATCTTAACCTCTCAGGCATACTGTGTTGCAATGAAAGGGGAAGGCATGTCATGCTACAGGCTTCCCACAAGTGGGAAAGATATAACATCACCCCGTACATATTCGCCTTACCCTGGAGTCTGCTTGTAGGGGGACAAGGAAATTAGAGAGACAGCAGAACTGAACACTGGATTTAGTGGGATAGTTCTCAAGATAATAACAATATAGCATAAAAACTAAAAGCACAATAATGCACCATAATTTCTAGGTATCTAGAAATTATGCTACCTATAATTACTGCTACCTAGAAATTATGATCTTCCCATGTGCTTGCAAAATCCTTAAAGTCTAGTCAAAATAGACGCAAATGTAAGTTCTGACCTTGTCATTTATTAACTGTCCACATTTGAACAAATTATTTAAACTCTATGAAAACTCAATCTGGTGAATGGGCACAAAATACATGAATCAATTCATACAATGCACCTGGCTTAGCGCCTGACCAGGGGTGCTGCTCTAAGGGGTGGCTTTCTTTATTATTGCTAGTTGTGATAACAATAACAAATATGCTACAAATAGAATTTGTAAAAGAGATGTGCAATCCTCTCTTCCTTCTTTCCTTCCTTCCTCACTTCCATTCATTTTTTTTACTATTAATAATCATGTTCAACAAATGAGATAGATAAAAATATAAGGGACATATAAAGACATGAGGGCACATCTTGAGCCATCCAGATAACTTCCACTTTCAAATGGCACATGGAATATGTGGACTATTTTGATTCAAGAATGAATCAAAAGCTATGCTCAGAGCAAGTAGCAAACCCAGAAATAGTTAGATCTCATTACTTAGGGAAGAAATATTGCATATTCTGCTGCAATAAGAATAGACTTCTAACTGTAAATAAGAGTCTTATAGGAAGAAAGTTGCTGTCCAGAATTGGTGGAAAGCATTTAACTATCTCTGAGCCAAGACATATCATGTAACTCAGGATCTTAAAGGCTGGTAGATAACACCTGTGAATGGTACTGTGCTAGGACTGGGAAAATAGTGGAAGCCCAGAGACCAGTAAATATTGCCCCAGCCTTCTCAAGAAAGATGAAAACTAGATTCCAGAAACTAGACTCAAATAAGTTTTTACTAAAATTCTAAGACATCTATTGCACAAATGATTCATGAAGAAGAATCAGTATTATTTCATTTAAAAAGTTCATTCCAAATAAGTTCTCCATCAATTAAGACAGACTTGATGTTTAGCAAAATCATTTCAACAAGGCATTGGGCAACATCTGCCATAGGTGGGTCCATTTTCAGGCATGTTGGGGGTTATGTTCAGGGGCGGGAAGCAAGTCTGTGGTGGTGTACCATGATTCTCTGTTTTATCCCTGTCCTGCTCAATATTTCACCTTAACTGAAAACCTAAAAAGCAGATGACAATACACTCTAAGACCTAGGTAGCACAATAGATTGTTTGATCTTCCTATGTGCTTGGCAGAATCCTTGAAGTCTAGATTTAGTAGGTGCAAAATAATTATCATCTTAAAAGTTGAAACTTCTGTAATTTAGAACACTCTCAATTGACCAAGCCTGTAAAATGAAGTTTAACTGAGACAAATGTAATATCCTTTATTTTGGCTCAAATAAATAAATAAAGGCTACTATAATGACAGAGGAAAGAACCATAGGAAAGGAATTGACAACTGTTGTGTCCAAAAGATAAAAGTTGGCAGCAAACTCAGGATCAGCCAATTGTATATCACCCTTGTTAAAAATGAACTGAAATTGATGCATTCATTTAAGTGAACTAAACTCATAATGAAATGTACATGATATGCCAGGCTCACTGTGAAAATTTGTGTTTCTTCTGTTATTGTATGTTGAGAAAAATCATCATAATATGAACTGTGATCAGAAGACAGCATTTATTATGGAATATAATCTGGAAACCTGTAATGTATAATGGATTATTAAATAAAGTGGAAATGTATATGCAGGCTGGAGAGAGAAAAATTGGAGGATATAATCGGCAGAGGGCAGAATTTTGAGTGAGTCTGGAGGGCATGGTAGTTTCACTGAGTAGAAGTTGTATGAAGGCAGATCTTGAAACCTCAGTAGACTATTTTTAGCAGCTAAGGTTGTTCAAAACTAACTGCAGGCTGCTCTGCCACTGGAGAGTCCTAGGTGGAAGCTGAGCATGGCGCAAAAGCTTCCTGCGTTGGGTGGGCTCTTTCACAACCTGTTCCTTGACATCCAAATCCAACACTGAGGTTCTCTAATCTTCTCCTCTCCAGGGATGCAGTGGAGTGTGGTGGCCAGTGGGAGAGTCAGTGCCACCCCCCAGCAACTTCTCCTCTGGTGGCTGCTCAGCCCAGTGACACTTAGACCCCGGGGACAGTGACCCAGAAGACAGCTGTGGCTCCAAGAGAGGGCCAGGTCCTAAGCTGCTGCGTGTGCCTGACTGCACCTGGCATTCACGTCACCAGAGGCCTTCCTCCGCGGCTGGTGCAGGCGCCCCTCGCACACCGGGCTTTTCCTCCGAGATTCCAGCAGGCGGCGTTTTGAGGGAGTCAGGGGACAGAAAGGCCTTGGTGCACTTTTCATTCTCCAACATTCCATCTTCCTGGAGTCTCCACTCTTGCTTGACAGTCTCTAGTGTTCCTGACATGTTCCCCTCGCTGTGACTGTGTCTCAGTCTTGTTCCAAGCACTCTTGCTCACTGTGTCCTATCTCAATCATAGATGTTTCCAAATATGTCTTCTTTGCTGTGTTGGCTTACAGAAAACACATCTTCCCTGTGCCTGTCTTGGCCATAGTTGTGTTCCAAGAGCTCACATTTCTGGCTGGGTCACATCCGTCAGAGTCATGTCCAAACTACCTGCTGCTCCTTCTTCATCCTGTTCTGTCCCAGATGTTCACACTCTTTCCTCCCTGTGTGTGGGTCCAAACGAGCATCCTCTTGGCCAGCCCCTGTCTTGGTCACAGACTTTTACTTGCTCTTTCCTTTGTCCACTGTCAGTCTGTCTCTTCAGGACATGCTCCATTTATTTACCACAGAAGACACAGGAGCAGAGACTGTCAGTGGAACATTGTCTCTGTAGCAAGCCTGGACTGAGCTGAAGACAGACGGTTTATCCTAGTGCAGGGGCCAAGGGCCCATTTGCTCTGAGATGCTCATCCTTCTGTTGGGTTAGAACCGGACATCTCTTAGCGAGCCTAGGGCAGGGTATCAGCATTGTACATGTTTACTAAGAGACTTTGAGATCTTTTCTGTGAGCTTGTGGTGAAGGCCACGGTACCAACTGAAAACCCTTGAAACTGGGCTTATTCCTCCCACAGGAGGAAACTTTCAGAAGTTCTCACTATGTGACCTGGTCACCCTCACAGTTCCTCAGGTGGGGGAGCACAGAGCTCAACAATGCTGGGAACACAAAAAACAATGTTTGACTTGAAGCCAGAGGATCTGATGCCAGCTCTGGCTCTGCTCCTGATAGGCTGTGAGATCTTGAATAATGTCCTTCCATCTCTGAACCTCACTTTCCACAGCTGCACCCCGAAGCTTGGACTAAGGTAGTAAGATTTCCTTCCATTTTTAGGATAACAGGAAGCTGTTACAGCCATCTGCTACCTCGAAAAGCCATGGCCTGCCTGCCTTTTGGCTTTGTTCCAAAGGAACTACTATCCATTTGGGCCTCCTCAACCCCTGACCTTGTCCAATCAACCTGGTTGTCATTCATGCACTGATGAGTCCATGGCTCTTGCCACTGGCCTAGAGTAAAGGTCCCAAGGAGAGAGGGCCACTTCCCAGAGCTGCTGTGGAGCTTGAACATTCATTGTGCCCATGGTTTGATAGCATCTCAGGATTATTTATCATACTCTTTCATACTGTCTTCTCTCTTGCTGCTCATGAAGCATCACTTATCATTTCCGTTGACGTTTACTCAAGTTCTAGGATCGAACTTGACAGGAAAGAGACTTGGAATTAAGAAGAGAAGATTCTCTGTCTTGTGAAGGCTTAGTTTTGTTGGGCAGAAAGCCACGCCTTAGGAAGGGAAGCCGCGGAGGGTGCACCCTCATTGACAGCCCCCGACTGCTGCTGGGAAACTGTGCTCCCTGCCGAGCCACTCCTTGTGGAGCCTGGGACTCTTTGTCATCAGTGTAGCAGGGGATCTATTCTTGTCAAATGTGAAGAAAGCTTACTTAAGTTCTAACTTGCACCCTGACACTGTGGTGGGACCAGTCCCCCGTTTGATTTTCCAAGTCCCTGCTCTGGGGCCATCACCAGGCTCAGCAACCCCCGCTCACTCAGAAGCAACCACCATTTTGAGGATAGTTCTTCTGTAATACAAAGAAGGGAGCATCAAGTTTTTGAGATCGCAGCTCCAGACCCAATGAAGAGACTCAAACAATCTGCCCTGGCTGCCCGTGCACCCTACCTACCTGTTGTCTCCGTGAGCACGCTGCTGAAGAGGGCTGTAGCATAGAAGTGGCAGGTGCACTGAATCAACGAATAACTGAGTGAATCAAACTAATTGCTGAACACCTCTGGCTTCAGGGGGAATGTCTTCTGCCTATTTCATAAAGTTGATGTGGAGGTTCAAAAAAAAATCTTTGTGAATGCATTCTATGAATCATAAAATGGCATCCCACCGTGTTCTGGATGTTTTGAGTTACTGTGATTGTGCCTGAGCTCTCAAGGGCTGAGTTTATTTAGTTTAGAGAATGAGCTTTTTATGTCAAAAATGATATGGGGGGTAGGAGGGTGTTTTTAAAGTACCAATTCTTCCAAGTCTGCCCCTCCTCATTTGGTCATTCCAGGTTTCCCAAGAAACAAATTCTTAAACCACAAACACATTCATTTAAAGGGATTTTGTGGTTCTCAAAGTAAAGGGGTGGATGGAGAAAATGGAAGATTATAGGCTAATTTGGGTATGAATGAGCCTAAATGTTCATGTCATATCAACTTAATTCACATGCCTGCTTGTCATAAAATATATATATATATATATATATATATATATTTGAAGGAAAAACTACCTGGGCCATTGAAATCATTTCACTTTGTAAATTGAATATATATATACATATATATATATATGAATTTTATTAAAAAAGAAAAAAGCAAACATGGACTACACTATAAATGACCAGCTGAAAAGAAGGTTGCATAAATGTCTACTAAGATACTGAACCATATAACTTTTGACATTGTTCCTGTCTGTGTAAATGATTGTTAATTATGGTTTAATGCTATTTTAGCAAACACCTTAATTTTGTTTACATTTTTAATAAAGTAGAGTAACAAATGGGACAACTTTGTACAGTTTATAATGCACTATTCCCCTTGTATAATCACTATACAAAATACATGTGGGCCATGATGCGGAACATGGAACTTCATTTTACAATTTCAAAGGATTACAAACTTTGGTGATGGTTGTATCTTTGGTTTTATGAGATTGCTACTTCTGTCTGTGATTATTTGTAGCAAAGACTTTGAAAATACTGGGATCAATTCTAACTTCATTCCCATGGAAAGCTCCCTTGGCTTTATGATCGCCTATTTTTTGATGCAGTTCCCATGAATGTGTTCTTGGAAAAACAGGAACCTACACAGTTTTTTTTAATAGATAAATTCTATTTATTGATTAAGTTGATAAATGACATGTGTTTATATGAATGCATTCTGTACATGTTTCTATAACTTATATATTAAAGGAAAAGTATAAGTCCTAAAGCTAATAACTGAATTTTGAAAATGCAATAAAATTCCAAAGTCGATTCCCATGTCTCAGAACTCTGGAGCTTCTCTGTTGTCCTAGGAGCTCAGTGCATTGCCCAGAAGCTTCATTTGAAGCAGAAGTATTTTGTCTCCAACACCGGTTCCCTTCAAAACAAAGCTAGAAGCTCGGGGCCTCCATTTGATATGATCCTACCTGCGCAGCTAACTCTGTGTCACTTTCATCAAGTCTGCAAGCACTCTGACAAGGTCACCCCATGAGCAGAAGATAGCGATTTCACCCAGTCACTCAGGACACAAATCACAAGGAGCCCTTCACCGCAGTGAAACAGTTGTATACCTAGAGGTCTTGGCATGAGAGGTTTATTAAACATTTGCCTCTGTACTGAAAGTGTTTTTTTTTTCCCCCCTTTAATTTCATGTTATGAACTGCCCAGGAGCCTGGAGTCCAGCTCTCATATGACCAGATTATGTGTCAATGAAATCCAGATCCCTTCTCTTCTGATTGTGGGGCAATAGAGAGATCCCACCAATAGTAGGGAGCAGAGAGCTTTTGGGGCCTCTGTCTTCTTCCACTTAAAATGCAGGAAATAAGCAACAATTAAGTTTTCAAGTCAGAATCCTTTCTTAAATCCCATTGCATAAGCAGTTCAAGCAGGATGGAGAAGAGTTAGGTCTGGATCTCCATCTCTGCTGGTTCAAACCATGCCATTGAAGGAGCCTTCTTGGAATCCTAAAGCCTGGAACAGCTGGACCAGGAAATTTCCTCTAAAGGTCTGTGAGAGCACATGTCCCCTCCCCCCACCCATTCTTAGTTTTTCTGAAACAGTGTTCATAACATTGCTGTGAACTATTTTTTCCAGATGACAACCTTTACTTCAGAATCATTCTTCTCACTTAGTTAAGAAACCTTTTTCTCTATATAGAGATCACTCTACCTCCTGAACCTTCCTCCCTAGAATGAAACCGGAGCCTTCACCATGTACAAAAAGCACCTGCTGCATCCAAGCAGATTACAAGACCCTAGAAATGTCCTGCACAAGCTGTCTCCAGACCAACCTACCTTGAGAGACTGTCTTTCTCACTTTTCTCTCACATTGTCTCTCTTCACTTTGGAAGAGACATCCAAGGGAGAGAAACTAGCATTGACATTTCTATTTGTGCTATGGTTTTCATTCAACAGTTTCTTTTTTTGAACACAGTATGCTAGGGTCTATTGCCAGAAGTCTGACAAAGTCTCCTCTGAAAGCTAGAAAATAAACAAGGAAACACGTACATCTGAATAAAGCAAGGTTAGATACTGACATATGCTTTAAAGAACATAAATAAAGGGCTGGGGATGTGGCTCAAGCAGTAGCGTGTTCGCCTGGCATGCGCGCTGCGCTGGGTTTGATCCTCAGCACCACATACAAATGAAGACGTTGTGTCCGCCGAAAACTAAAAATTAATATTTAAAAATTCTCTCTCTCTTTAAAAAAAACATAAATAAAAAGTAGGGATCAGCAAGGGAATAGTGGTGTACTTTCACGTGGAATAATTAGGGAAGAATTGAAGGAAGAAGTAAGCCCAGTGACTGGGGACAAGAAGGCATCTGTTATGTATTTGATCTGGAGGAATATCATACTGGGCAAAGAGACAGCAAATGCAAATGCTCTGGGGGCAGGAATGAGCTTGAGGGGTGTCTGGTGCTCAGTGAAAGCAGGAAAATGGCAAGAGGTAGGATGAGAGAAGTAAGCAAAGCCTGATCCTAATTCACCAGTTATTTATGTGTGTCCAGCTTGTCCGGGTGGGAAATGGTTACACATTACATGGTTTAGTCCTATAAGGTAAGTATCCTTTTCCTATCACGTGGATAAAGAAACCAAGCTGAACAGAGATGTTAACCTGGCATTTGCCCAAGGATGCAGACACTCCCTAAAGCTGGAAATGGAAAGCAGATCCTGCCAGGTCAAGCCTTCATCCCCACCATCGCTTACTGAAACGTCATGGTCCACCTGTTCTCTCAGCAGCATGAACTACGTCAAAATGTATGGACTCTCTCCTTGTGCACTTCCCCCTTGCCTCCCTTTCCCTCTCCATGGAGTGTTTGGCTATCTGTCAACAAATACAAATAAATTTATAAAGAAGTTCTTCATTTATAAATAGGTTCTTCATTGGTTTTCAGTTAACTAATTCCAAATAGTATCTGATTGGAAGGGAAAAAAACAAACTCTCAGCCAGCCAGAAAGTGGTTTCCTATTAAAACTATTGATCTTATCAGAAACAAGGGAAATTCAGCTTGGTTATATAATCAGGTCTTCTCTAGCGGGTCCTTATCTCCATTCTTACTGACATCATCCTTTCATGATTGACATGATCTTTCATCTTGACTTGGGCTTTAGGCTCTAAAATAAAACTTTTTAGAGTGTTCCATGACCCCATCAAAACCCCTCACGGACGCCTCATCACCTACCAGATTCTAAGCTCTCCATTTTTCTAAGTGTGATGATGACAGTTTTGCCTCCACTTATTTCTCCTCATCTCTGCAAAGCAAAGCAGTCTGCTCCGTGTTCCACATGCTTTCTCTGGCCTTTATTTTTACATTCAGGCTGCGGGTCCAGCTGTTCTTTCCACTGGGCACATGTCCCTTGGCCTCTCTTACATGGTGCATCTCAAATGCCACTTATACTTGAAGCGTTTTCTAGGCTCCAGTACAGCAGGAAGGTTTTGACCTATTCTAATCCCCAAATGCTTTATTCTTCTCTGACATTTTGGTATGCTTTTCAGTGTCTCTTCTTCCTGATGCCTTTTCTGAGCTCCCCTACCAAATTTTGAGATCCTTGAGGAATGGCCACTTTTTTTTTTCAATTGTATTCTATTTATTAGCACAAACATTTGGAATTTGAAAACTACAAAATGATAATACTTTCAATAGCACAAGAATATTTAAATGTATATAAAACAAAACATGTAAAGGATCTGGATGTTTAAAATTATAAAACATTGATGAAAGAAATAAAAACCCAAGACCTAATTAGTGGAGAGAGATGCTGTGTTCATGAATTAGAAGTCTCAATGTTCAGACATCATCGTTCCCCAATTTTTTTTTTAATTTTTTATTGTTGGCTGTTCAAAACATTACATAGTTCTTGATATATCATATTTCACAATTTGATTCAAGTGGGTTATGAGCTCCCATTTTTACCCCATATACAGATTGCAGAATCACATCAGTTACACATCCATTGATTTACATATTGCCATACTAGTGTCTGTTGTATTCTGCTGCCTTTCCTATCCTCTACTATCCCCCCTCCCCTCCCCTCCCCTCCCCTCTTCTCTCTCTGCCCCCTCTACTGACATTCGTTTGTCCCCCTTATATTATTTTTCCCCTTCCCCTCACTTCCTCTTGTATGTACTTTTGTATAACTCTGAGGGTCTCCTTCCATTTCCATGCCTTTTCCCTTCTCTCTCCCTTTCCCTCCCACCTCTCATCCCTGTTTAATGTTAATCTTTTTCTCATGCTCTTCGACCCTACTCTGTTCTTAGTTACTCTCCTTATATCAAAGAAGACATTTGGCATTTGTTTTTTAGGGATTGGCTAGCTTCACTTAGCATAATCTGCTCTAATGCCATCCATTTCCCTGCAAATTCTATGATTTTGTCATTTTTTAATGCAGAGTAATACTCCATTGTGTATAAATGCCACATTTTTTTTATCCATTCTATGCAACAAAATGAAACTGAATCCCTTTCTCTCGCCATGCACAAAAGTTAATTCAAAATGGATCAAGGAGCTTGATATCAAATCAGAGACACGCCGTCTGATAGAAGAAAAAGTTGGCTACGATCTACATACTGTGGGGTCGGGCTCCAAATTCCTTAATAGGACACCCATAGCACAAAAGTTAATAACTAGAATCAACAAATGGGACTTACTCAAACTAAAAAGTTTTTTCTCAGCAAAAGATACAATAAGAGAGGTAAATAGAGAGCCTACATCCTGGGAACAAATCTTTACTCCTCACACTTCAGATAGAGCCCTAATATCCAGAGTATACAAAGAACTCAAAAAATTAGACAATAAGAGAACAAACAACCCAATCAACAAATGGGCCAAGGACCTGAACAGACACTTCTCAGAGGAGGACATACAATCAATCAACAAGTACATGAAAAAATGCTCACCATCTCTAGCAGTCAGAGAAATGCAAATCAAAACCACCCTAAGATACCATCTCACTCCAGTAAGATTGGCAGCCATTATGAAGTCAAACA